AGGCCAAGGTGGGCAGATCATCGGGTCAGGAGTTTGAGACCAGCCTGACCCAACATGGTGAAACCCTATCTCTACTAAAAATACAAAAATTAGCAAGGTGTGGTGGTGCACACCTGTAATCCTAGCAACTCAGGAGGCTGAGGCAGGAGAATCACTTGAACCCGGGAGATGGAGGTTGCAGTGAGCTGAGATTGTGCCATTGCACTCAAGTCTGGGTGAGAGAGCAAGACTGTTTCAAAAAAAAAACAAAAAAAACCCAAAACCAAATTGATGTGGTTTGGCTCTGTGTCCCCAGCAGAATCTCCTGTCAAATGGTTGTCTCCCGTGTCGGAGGGCAGGCCTGGTTGGAGGTGATTGCTTCAGGCCAGAGGGAGTTCTCATGAGTGGTTGAGCACCATCCTCCCATAATGCTGTAAAGTGAGTGAGTTCGCAGGAGATCTGGTTGTTTAAAAGAGGGCGGCGCCTCCACCATGCCTCTCTCTTGGTCCGTGCCTGCCTTGTGATGTGCCTGTTCCCACTTTGCCTTCTGCTGTGACTGGAAGCTCCCTGAGGCCTCAGCAGAAGCAGATGCTGCCATGTTTCCTGTACAGCCTGTGAAACTATGAGCCAATTAACCCTCTTTTCTTTATAAATTACCCGGTCTCAGGTATTTCTTTTCTTTTTTTTAAATATATATTTTATTGCGTTTTAGGTTTTGGGGTACTAGGTCTTTGCTATTGTAAACAGTGCTGCAATGAACATTTGTGTGCATGTGTCTTTATAATAGAATGATTTATAATCCTTTGGATATATACCCAGTAATGGGATTGCTTTTTTTTTTTTTTTTTTTTTTTTTTTTTTTGAGACCTGTAGTTGCCTAGGCTGGAGTGTAATAGCGCGATCTTGGCTCACTGCAACCTCCGCCTCCAGGGGTCAAGTGACTCTCCTGCCTCAGCCTCCTGAGCAGCTGGGATTACAGGCATGCACCACCACCACGCCCAGGTAATTTTGTATTTTTAGTAAAGGCAGGGTTTCTCCATGTTGGTCAGGCTGGTCTCAAACTCCTAACCTCAGGTGATCCGCCCACCTCAAGCTCCCAAAGTGCTGGGATTACAGGTGTGAGGCACCGCACTCTGCCTCAGGTGTTTCTTTATAGTAGCATGAGAAGAGGCTAATACACAAATGAAAAGGCTGCCTTTTAATTTTTTTTTTAAGCAGAGTTTTGCTCTGTCTCCCAGGCCACAGTGCTCACAGCTCACTGCAGCTTCAACTTCCTGGGCTCAAGAAATGCTCCTGCCTCAGCTTCCTGAGTAGCTGGGACTACAGGTGTGTGCTGTCACAGTCGGCTTTTATTTATTTATTTTTGTAGAGATGAGATCTCCCCGTATTCCCCAGGCTGGTCTTGAACTCCTGGGCTCAAATGGTCCTCCTGCCTCAGCCTCCCAAAGTACTGGGAATAAAGGTGTGAGTCACTGCACTCACCAAAAAGCCTTCTGAATGCTGGTGATGCTGACCTGAGCCTGATGGGTTTCAATCCATACTCCGGCTGAACTCAACTCACGCTGACTGGAAGCTCGATCCTCAGTCATTGGAAAAACCAACCCCTTAAGTTTCCTCCAGGTAGAAGAAGGACTTTGTTTTTGGTGGGAGGATGAGGGTGGGTTGGGGGGGAGGGGGGGAGCTGAGGAGGTGGGAAAATGCAGAGGCGGGAAGCTGGGTCTATGGTGGATGACTTATCAGGAGGGTCTGTGTCTTTGCAGTCCTGTGTCCCCACGCTCTATCAAACCAGCTTACAGGGTTTTGGGCCAGTGACGATGTAGACACAAAGTGAGGCCAGAGGTATAGGTACACTTCCCAGGTTGCCTGATGTAGACTGGGGCAAACCTGGCTGGTCGTCAGAATGGCCTGCAGGGAGGGCCCAACCCTAGGAAGTCTGATTGTCCTGGCCTGGAAGGGGCCTGGGAATCTGCATTTGTAGCCAGTACCCCACTGTGATTGATGCTGCTGCATTGATGAGAAACTATGGCATCGAGGATTGCAAAGTTTCTGCTCAGGCTCCTGGCTTGGAATGGGGGAGGAATCCGGGCCTGTGGTCAGAGACCTGAGTCTGGGGGGCGGGGGGAGATGGAGAAAGTGATGGAGCAAAGCTGCCAGAGCTGACTGAGCAGGAACTCTGATGCCAGATGGGATGAAAATCCTCCTGAGCTGTGTGACTTAGGGCAAGTGTCTTAACCTCTCTGTGCGTCTGTTTCCTCATCTGTATCATGGGATGATCTAGTTCACCTTGCGGGGACTTTGCTGGAGGAGTTGACTGAATGAATTAATATACAAGGAATGCTTTGCCTAGTGCCTGATAGTTTCCTAACAACAGTGCCGTCTATTCTTTGTGATCCAAGAAAATCTCTCCTTTGTAAACTCTTGGACGACTTCCTGGCACGGTAACTGTTCCTTTCTCTGTGTGAGGTCTGTCCATGGTGTGCTGGAAGTCTCCTGCCTGTGTAGCTCATTTCCCCACTGGCTCCTCCAAGCCAGCACCGCTTGGGATGTGGTTTTTGGCTTTTCCTCACAGCGTTTAGCAGCCACACCAGAACTCATCACAGTCCCCAAGCAGCTGTGAGCTGAGGGATGTTTTAGGTCTTTATTCCTGTGGGTTGGGGGCTCCTGAGCCCTGCTATAGAATATGGTTGAGCTGGGGGCCGAGTGCAGTGGCTCAAGCCTGTAATCACAGCACTTAGGAGGCCAAGGTGGGTGGATCACCTGAAGTCAGGAGTTCGAGACCAGCCTGGCCAACATGGTAAACCAGGTTTACATGGTAAACCCCGTCTCTACTAAAAATACAAAAAAAAAAGCTGGGTGTGGTGGCACATGACTGTAGTCCCAGCTACTCAGGAGGCTGAGGCAGCAGAATCGCTTTGAACTCGGGAGGTGGTGGTTGCGGTTCGCTGAGTTTGCGCCATTCCACTCCAGGCTGGGCAAAAAGAACAAAACCCATCTTAAAAAAAAAAAAAAAAAAAATTTATGAGCTTGGGAAAGGGGAGGTGGAATCATTGATTTCAAAATATGAAAAGAAAATTGGCCAAGTCTAAAAGCATAAATAACTTTTCATAAAACATGGTGTGTCAACCAGTCAACTGTGTCTTAATTTGACTCTAAGAAAATTGTATTAAAAGTACATTTAACTGTCCATCAAGAGATTAATGGCTGCACAGAAAGTGGTCTATCCGTTCAGTGCATCGTTATTCAGCTGCAAAAAGGAATGACGTGCTATTTCACATTACATGGCGGAACCCCAAAACCGTCATGCTGAGTGAAAGAAGCCAGACAAAAAGGCCACCTACTGACCACTTCCATTTATGTGAAATGTCCAGAATGGGCAAATCTGTAAGGACAGAAAGCCTATCAGTGGTGGCCAAGGACAAGGGTCAGAGGTGCCAGGAGTGATGGCTTACTATGTATGGGATTTCTTTTTGCAGTGAAGATACTATAAAATTGGTTGTAGTAATGATGGCAAAACTACCTATCTTAAAAACCATTGAGTTGTATCCTTTGTTTTTATTTTGAGATGGAGTCTCACTTTGTCTCCAGGCTGGAGTACAGTGGCGCTATCTCAGCTCACTACAGCCTCTGCCTCCCGGGTTCAGGTGATTGTCCTGCCTCAGCCTCCCGAGTAGCTGGGGATTACAGGTGCCTACCGCCACCACCACCATGCCTGGCTAATTTTTGTACTTTTAGTAAAGACTGGTTTTCACCATGTTGGTCAGGCTGGTCTTGAACTCCTGACCTCAGGTGATCCACCTGCCTCAGCTTCCCAAAATGCTGGGCTTACAGGTGTGAGCCACTGTGCCCAGCCGAGTTGTGCACTTTAAATGAGAGGAGTGAGTCAAGTATGGTGGCATGAGCCTGTAGACCAAACTACTTGGGAGGCTGAGGTGGGAGGATCGCTTGAGCCTAGGAGGTTGAGGCTGTGGTGGACTGTGATCACACCACTGCAGTCCAGCTTGGGCAACAGAGTGAGACCCACCATCTCAAAAACAAAACAAAAAACACCATGAAAACCCAAAGTTGTGGGTGGAGGTGAGTTGGAGGTGTGGGACCTAGGATGAGCGCTGAGCAGGTGTGAGCAGACCCTTGGCTCCTGAATTACTTCCTTGTCCTCTCAGAGGCTGTGAACCTGGAGCTTTGCAAAACTCGCTGCTGCTGTGATATGAGCCATTTCCAAAGGCCTTGCTGAGCCAGACCTCCCATTGGCTTTTCCTACCCTGAGCACTGGGAAAGACAAACCCAACATCAGACTACACAACTAGATAGTGGCGATGGTTGCACAATGTCGTGAGTGGACACAATGCTACTTCACAATGCTCAATACTTCAGAGTGGTTAAAATGGGCCAGGTGTAGTGGCTCACTCCTGTAATCCCAGCACTTTGGGAGGCTGAGGTGACTGGATCGCTTGAGCCCAGGACTTCCAGACCAGGCTGGGCAACATAGTGAAACCCCGTCTCTACCAAAA